GGTCATCAACATACACATTTTTTTACAGATAAAATGTTAAGGTAGTGTACTTTTACTTGATTAGTTAAAGTGTAACGAAACATTTTAACCTAATGAAGATAAATACAAATATAACTGTGTTTACTCATGCTGACTATCAATGCCGAGTTATATTGACCAAGTTGTCTAGTGTTTTTGAGAAAACAACTAAATTATCACTGGCTTCACAGTGGTCCTAGATTCGTTTTTCAAATAACTCTCAAAAGGTTCTCTTTTTCAAGTTCATTTCTGTATTCCCATAGTTTTCTAAAAAAACAAAAAAGCTTTGTTTTGTAAATAATAGGTTATCCTGCAATATTTTATCTAATGTGTTGATGTAGATATCCTAACTAGGTTTATTGAACAATGAATGGATGATAGCAGTTGTAAATATGTATGCACATTGTTCTTTTTTTTTTCGTCAACATAACTGATAAGTAGTGATCTGATTAATCTTAGTATTTTCTTAGAGTTTTGCTAAAAATAAATGACTTGTATCATAAAAACGATCTAATAGCACTATCGGAATATATCGGTAGAGACTTGACTCAACCTCTTTCAGTAAACAGACAGTGGAAACTAAACAATAAAAAAAGTATTCAGTGGTTTTTTTGATGAAATGTTTTTCTATCGGATAATAATGCTCTAGAACACGAGATACTGTTCAACTAGCTTGCAAGCCATGTTAGTGATAAAGTCAAAGCTCAAAGAAAAGAAATGTTATCTCTTAGTTATGCACAATGTGTACTTTCCTCAACGAAATGACAGATTATTTATCAGAGACTCATTCCAGTTCATAATTACAAAACTACTGAGTGATAGTCTTCCTCCTTTTAATGAAGAAATAGAACACGTCTTAGAAACTCTTCTCCTTCGCTATAAACTTTGAAAGATACCTTAGTATAAAACATGACTGAATTCATATTGGATGCCCTTTGTCCTTCACTGACATTCACTTTAATATATACAGTGAAACCTCTATTAGTGAACACCTCTCGTAAGTGAACAACCCGTTATAATGAACATTCTCCGGACCGACCGACTGAATTTTGCTTGTTTTGACCCTCTCCTTTATGAACACCTCGACATTCTGAATGTGAACACTTTATTTCAGTCCCCACCATGTAAATAAACCCTCTATAATATGAACGTTGACAGCTAGCGCCACCTAGTATTGAGTTAACACTATGCATCCAATTGGTTAATTTTATGATTGGCTAGAAAAAGAGAAAGGGACAATGGACACCATCAATATCATATGTGATTAGAACAATGAATGAATGTTTTTTTTGTTTTTCAACCATTATTTATTATAAACTATGACCAGTGTTTCTAATGGAAATCTAAAACAAAATGTACAATACACTCTGTTTTTTATGAGCAAAGTGTACATTACACTTTGTTTTTTTCAGCAAAGTGTATCAAAGTGTACCAGAGTCAAATTTTCACAATCTAAAAAAACAAAATATAATGTTCGTCACTTTTTCTTTCATGAGACAAACTTGTTGATCTCTAGCGAACAAATAAACATAATCTTTAATTAATTTAAAACTATATGCGGCTTTCGAGGTTCAGAGATCAAAGAAATCAGATATGAATGAAAGGAAGAGAAAAAAAGGCAATCATATTGCGCAAATCACAGAGAGACTAAAAGATGCCACTATTATCGATGATTTCAGAGTAAATGTGTAAGAATAAAAATACTTCCCAATATTTAAAAAAACAAAGTGTATATTCACTTGGTAAAGTGTACCTTGTACACTCTAATTTTTTAAGCAAGTGTACCGCAGCGTGTATTTTTGTAATAGTAGGTGTCCCGTACATTTTACTTCTGCTGGGTACACCTGCCATTAGAAACGCTAACTATGACCAGTCGTCATGAACTTTCACTTGAACAGAAACTGAACTTAATAAAGGAAAAAGAACAAGGTTCCTCGCATAGACAACTCAGTAAAAATATGAAGTTTTAATTGGTGCAGTGTCGAACATATTTCAAATATTCACCTGTTGAAATTCATAAAAATCTTATGAAATGAATTTTTTTAATATTATAAATGGTTAAAAAAAATTATATTAATAAACTATAACAGTCCATTAAAAATGAACGTATAGATATCATTTCCTTCGAAAAATTTTTATATTTTTACAAAACCTCTCCTATATGATCACCTCGTTAATCTGAACGATTTCTGAAGGTACCGACAGTGTTCACATTAGAGAGGTTTCACTGTATTACGATTGAGATTTTTGATTATTGATACAAATAGAATCATGTTTCATATATTAAGTTAATTCTAAATGTGTATTCAGTTTCATTTCATCTATCATAATGTGAGCATGTGTGTGAAATAGGTGGAAAATGAATCGAGTACAATACTTTTGTTTTCTTACTTCAGAATAAAAATCTTTGTACTATTTTTCCTATTAGAATTCATTTATGTCAAGATGATACCATTAAAGTAATATTATCTTAAAAGGTAACATCGTAAATTACCAATGAATAGGTTTCGGATTCCGTAACCTTAAATGTTCCCAAATTCGTACAATTTGTTTCTGTTTCAGAAATACCAATTCTGGGAAAAAAACCTTTGTTCTATTATCGGATGCTTTCGAACATGAATTTTCATATGCATTGCCACAGATAGTACATATTTATTAGTTAGAATCCAAAATAATGCTAATTTAATGGGAGCAGATAGTTAAAAATTAATTTTAATGCAACAAGAACCAAAGCATTAGAGTAAATTTTAATACTCATACAGAAAGAATAAACACTATTCTAATAATGTTATTAACCTGACACCTTCAGTGTATTGAAGAGTTGGAATATACTTTACATAGGAAAATAGAAAAATGTATTGCAAGAATGAGGACACAAAAGAAATTAAATTGGCCTACTAGTATTTTGCTTCACCAATTCTATGGAACCATATATTGACGAAAAGAGCATGTTGACACTAACATGTTCATACTAGATTTATGAACTTTTGATCGAAATTTGAAAACTAAACCCTATCAATCAAAGCAATGCGCATTTAGTTACTCTTCTAGAGATCTATTCTATCATGATGAATTCATTTTGAGAATAAGTAGAGAATACAACTATTCAACAAGATATAGATCTGATGTCTACTGGTCGTTACTGCTCTCGTATGTACCGCTTTGATGTGTTTTTCATGAATGTTCAGATAATTTCGATCAAAAAATTATTCAGCTTGCGTCAAAACAAATATCATATTAGAAATCAGTATAGAAAGCGGAGTTGATCTATGTCTGATTTTTCAAAATTTTTGAAACTGGTCCTTTTGAATGAAAACACTAATAATGAATTACATGAAAACAACGTTCAGACATTGTAATGAAATGTCGACTCTTTTTTAAAGCTATTACATAGCAAAATGGCAGATATCTATAGAAAATGAAAACAGAGCTTTCGAGCGAGTCTATTTTTTATCTAGTCTCTAAGGGGCACTAGTGGTAAATTTTCCGGCAAAAAAACAACCTCCAAAAGTCTCTTAAATCAAACAGAGATCAACTGAAATTTTTATTCTGATTCCGAACATCATACTATTATTTACTTACACTGAATTTTTCCGATCAGAATTCTTTAATATCGGTGACATAGCCACGAAATTGCGCCTAGAGAAAATTGTGTATGGAATCAGTTTTAGCACCCCTATGTTTGGATTTTGAATAAAAATATATAACTTTCTAGCTTTTAAAAAAGACTGTCAAATAAATGATGCCGGAGTTTTGGTCATTTAAGTTTTTAAATACCATATTTTTTTTTAAACAAAAAAGTGAAATATAAATATAGTAAAGATATTAGCACTGTCAACCAGAAGAGATTGAATCTATATCTCGATCAATGATACAACCAATTACTGATTTATATATGGAACTCAAAACTCAACCAGATAGCTTTCAACTTTCATTATTTCATTAGTCATTTATCTTATCTCTTTATTCTCAAAGTCACTGTGATACAATGGATCAGTATTATAATGATCAAAAATAGATTTCTTTCGTTGATAGCTTTTCATCATTAAACTTCTATCAAAATCTCATGAAACTAGCACCAAAATGTTAGTCAAAATATGTTATTTCGATTGATACATGACTCAACCCAGTGAAGAAAGAATAGAGTAGGCCGGTTGATTTAAACTGTTATGTACCCTATCCTTCAATATTAGAAAATTCAAAATGCTAATACTGTCACTGAGCTAATCAACCGTAACCATAAAGGATTGAAAAGGAAAATGAAAAAAAATTCGAATAAATAAGACCATCCATGTGCAAGATATGAGAAAATAAATTGTACATAGGGTTAATACATTGATGAGAGAAAAACATTCAGGTAAGGTCGAAAAAAGAAAGCAAAAGAAAAGAGTAACTTTACTCATCATACGCAGTTGTAAATAAAACACAACATGGATTATACCAGCGCAAAGCTAGAAAAAAATATCAGTTTACGTTTTGTCAAGAACACAGAAAATCATCGATGGCAGTTTTTATAATCTTTTACAAGGTTTAATCAACAATTGCATTCATGATACCATTCATAAAGGTAACAAACTAATATTACGCATAGTAGATGTTAGTTCCAAATGATAATTATACTTGGAACTGAAAATTATGCCTTTAATTTTCGCTTTTGGTGAGTAGAACCCGAGTGAATATGGTGGGTTTCATTTTATGGATTTTCTTTTTGATTGGAGACTGATTCATGGAAACATGTTTACGATTTATCTACTATCAATCTTTTTCTTTTTCACTTTTTTCGAATGTTTCAGATATATAGAATAATTTGTTGTCCAAAGAAAATAAGAGTATAAACAACTTGTTTCTTGTCAAAATGTATCCTTCTCTACAATCACAAACTCTTCATAAACCGGCTGAAGAAAGTGTAGTCGTTTTTGAAAATTTTGTTCGCCGGTATAACAGTAGGTTTCTCTTACAGTATAAGAGTTCTTCATTAATCAATGCATGAACATGACTATCTGGTTTTAGTTAATGAAACTTTTGCCTCAAAGCTTCGTGGTCTACGTGGTTATGAAATCGTTTTCATATGTGATGATTCAGGTTCAATGCAAGCTCCGATCGGTAAAAATATGCATTTCTTGACTTCATCTTCATTTTTTAACGAATTTTTGTTTCAAAATTGAAGGACGCGCTTCTGGTCCAGGCCAACAGCGATCAACTCGTTGTATGTTTTTATTTTACTTATTCTTTATAAAATACAAGATAATATAATATTACTTATGTTTTGTTTGTAAGGGGAAGAACTCAAAAAGACAGTATCAATCGTTGTAGATTTGGCGAGTACGATTGATCCTGACGGTGTTGATGTCTATTTCCTAAATCGAAAACCATTGCTAAATGTTCATAGTTCAAAAGAATTGGCTCCCACATTTGCTATACCTCCAAATGGTATCTATCATAAACATCTTTTGAATTGATTATTTTCTATGAAACCATTTAAGGCTTAACACCAATTGTACAAATATTGAGACAAGTTCTGCACGATAAAAAACAAGAAATTCAAAAAAGAAAATTACTTATTGTTATAGCTACTGATGGTATACCAACAGATAATAATGGTCAACCAAATGTCCAAGAATTTTACCAAATTCTTGCACATGAACGTGTTCCTATAGATCGAGTTCCAGTAACAATTATGGCTTGTACAGGTGAATATTAATATTCGAATTTTTGATCCATTCGAATAAATAACATTGTTTTCGATTAAGGAAGGTTTTTAAAATTTTCAATGAGTTTTCTCTGGTCAATTAATTTTTACTTTAGTTCTAGTTAGCGCTTCGAACGATTATATCTTTCGTGTATAATGTACTCCTGTGAGTTAATGGTTGTTTGGGAAAAATTTTTGAATATTTATTAGTATGCAGTAAAATTTTCGAAGAGTTTAGTAGCATCTGTGAAAATTTTTTGACAAATATTTTCCTTCTTAGGAAAAAGTTTTCAATTTTCAAAATGAATCTCGGTTTATTTATATATACACCGGTAAGACCTTTTACTAGTCTTTTTTCTATTCTTCTTGTTAAATTTTTGGAAGTCATTCGTGTTTTTATTACAGCGTGAGTATCTTTTACCCTTCTTTACGTTGATCATCCATATTGCTATCTCCTTCATCCTGTTTCACTATGCTTATTCATGATATAACACACACTACTTTGGCTCTTGTTTTTCGTTGCATTTTTCCCTATAGAATGCCACTACTTGCCATTTGACTCAATTACTACATACAATTGCTACTGTTTGTGGATGTAGGTGTGGCCGTGGGTATGCATAGATCTTTCCTTTCTCGACACTCACACCCTTATTTCTCCTGGTTCAGCTAGCTGAAATTATTTACGAAAAGCACAAGTAGCAAGTTCATCTGAACCAAACGAGACTGAATAATAGCATTTTTTTAAATGTGTATTTTCAATATGTTGAATAGTAGTAGTTTTTTTAGTAAACATGTTAAAGGAGAAAACTCGTTATTTAATAGAATTTTTATAGCGAGGGGAAATTTCTTACAAAGATTTTCCTGTTCAAGGAAATTTTTTATTTCACTAGCAAATTTCTCACTACTAGATAATGCCATTCTTCTTCCAATGGAAATGTACGAATCAAAACATAAAAAACTTAGATTACGTATAGACATATAGTAAAATTTATTTGTTTCTTTCGTTTTTATTTTATTGTGGCACTAACAGTGAAATTTCATATTTATCATGAAAGACTATGACTGTCTTCTCCGTATTACTATTAAATAAAAAGGAAAGAAAGCAATAAACTTCACTATGTTTGTGTACGTAAAGAAAACTTTCATGTTTTTATTTTATATATTTTCTTATGGAGAGGCACCGCATTATCATCTGAAACGTTAAGTAACACTGATTGATATAAAAATTTATTTGGAAGAGAAAAACTCATTTGAGAAAAAAAAGTCAATAATATTAGAGAAGATGCGTTTTAGAAATTTATTGCTTTATTTCATGAAACTATAATATACCTCAAGTCGATTTTTTTTGATCTTTTGCGATTTAAGATGATGATAGTTGCATGTCATATTTAAATAATTGGGACAAAACAATTCCAAATCTTGATCTTGTTCATGATTATGAAAATGAAAAACGAGAAATTCTTGAAATGCAAGGCAGATCTTTTCCATTCAGTTTTGGTGATGTAAGTGTTGTTCGTGATATACAGCTTCAGATTTATATTTTATTTCTTCATTTTTATTTTCAGTACGTTGTTAAAATTCTTATGGGTGGCATAGACAGCTGGTTTGATTTGTTAGATGAAAAAAAAGTATCACTCAATAGTCAATGATCATCTAAAACAGGGGCTCGCTTCTGTTGTAACAATTCTTAATCTTTACCTTTGTTTACCTTACTGTCTTTCCTATTTTATATATTTTTTATTTATTTTCATCGATTCTTCTTTACGAGAATTGTAAATTACATTTGACTTTCAAGAAAATATCTAATTATAATTTCGACAATCATCGTTATATGTATAAGACACTATTTTTTTTAATTTCAATTCGTCGTCCTTCATAACCGAAAGAAAGCTTGAAAGTGTTTTGAATCAAGTTGTGATTCTTTTAATATTGTTAACAATAAACAGTTTTGCAAACGAGAAATGCAATTAATTATCTTCTATTCTTTGTGATTAGTAAATGTGAAAACAAATATTTACTCCAAAAGTTACAAACAAAATAGTACTTTAAACTTGAACTGTTAAATTTCACTTGACCTCGAAAATCTCATATGAAACTTTAAAAAAAGAGGTTATTTCGAGAAAATCAACTGTTCTTGAATAACAAGTGCAATAAACAAATTTTACATCGAATCCATATTGTGATTGATCTGTGATGGAAAATCTTTTCTCAGAATACCTGTAGATGAAGCATATTAAAGTTCACCGGTATGTGATTGTTATTTCGTTTCTTTATGATGGAAAGAGAAGACTAATGACTGACGACTTCATTAGAATACATATTTTAATTTTGGTTTATTTTTGAAAGATAAAACGTTACCATAGCATACTCTCACTGTAACGGTGAAAGTTTCAATTAATAGGTTAACATAAATATTAAATTTTAAGTGCTTTTAAACTGAAATCGTCATCTCTATTCAGTATTCTATTTAGCTAAAACATGTAGCCGAACAACGTATGCTTACAGATATTCAAAATCAGCACTCATGTATGATTAAAGTTGATTTCAAAATGGCATTGCAGATAAAATGTAGTCTTTTTTTATTTGAGTATAATATTCATATAAAAACAATGTTTCTTACAAACCGCTGTGTTATTAAAACCTACTGATAGCTACCATATTTTATTTTGAAGAGTAATATATCCACTTAATCTTCACGAAGTAAAAAAAAGAATGTTATAATATTTATGCTTATTCGTATTCAAAATCTTGTTGCGCACAATGTTTACTTTCCAGAAATATGAAAGCAGTCTCGTGTGAATTACATATCAGACTCGAAATGCTGCTTTAATTTTACTGCCTGAAAATCATGATATTATGTAAAATGAAATAAGCACATGGATAAATTCTGGCTGTTATTTATTCCATTTTCTTCTTTTTTGTCGTACAGTTAATCTTTAATTAATAGAAGTTGAGTGAGACAAATTTGTGACTGGCGAACGAAATTATCTAGAAACGCGGAAACAAACCAGAATGGCTTTCCATTTAAATAAAACTATGAGATACATTAACAGTTGTCGATCGACAAGTCATTTAGTATTAGTGCTTATATATGTTCATGACTAGTCTAATGTACAATACATATATACATTCATGATGCCTTATTTAACATTATTCTACTTCTTACTCATTTTTTATCCCCATTTAATATTGAGAAATATCGTCAGTGAGATCACCACTGTTTTTTTTTTATAGCACCTTGTCTTTCATCCAAATACTTGTAATGTGAATGATTATAAATAGAGCACTATTCATACAATTGTAATCTATAAGAAACGGCGACATTTTCACTCCTTCACTAACTCGAATGAAAGAATTAATCTTGATAAAAAATTTATTATGTGATCAAGATGTCATTAACATATTTTCTTTCTCATCTACTCTGTCAACTTTAGAGTTAATTGAGTCATCAATAATGTTAAAAGATGAACCTAGCAAAAGTGAACTTTAAGACGTTGAAACAATAGATTATACTCTTTCATATATTTAATACTAGAATGAAATGGACGACACGAATATGCCTTTCTTCTTAATTATTTCTCTTCAAATGAAACTATTTTTTTCGAATGATTACTTTTTCATCTATTTTACAAATGTGATGAGTTGAGTAAGAGTCATACTTTCTTTTTGTTAGACATACTTTCATATAAACTCATCACGGAAGTATTTAACTAGCCACTGCATTGTTAATACGGAAAATTATACATGACTTGAACGTCAGTCGATAATACTACTGTTAATTTCAAAAAAAAAATGTTGATGATCTGGCTTCATAGTGTGGGATCACTTCATACGAGTATAGAGATATATAGGACACTATTTTTCGCTACAAGACATTTTCAGAACTCTGATAAACGCTACAACATCACCACACACTATCGGAAGCTTTGTCTATGTGGTCCGATAAATTAAATTTAAAAACCTTCAAATCATGAAAAACAATAGCACAAAAATGTTTATTCTGAAGTAAGAAAACAAAAGTATTGTACTCAATTCATTTTCCACCTATTTCACACACATGTTCACATTATGATAGATGAAATCAAACTGAATGCAGGCTTAGAATTAATTTAATATATGAAACATGATTCTATTTGTATCAATAATCAAAAATCTCAATCGTAATATATATTAAAGTGAATGTCAGTGAAGGACATAGGGCATCCATCATGAACTCAGCCATGTTTTATACTAAGGTATCTTTCAAAGTTTATAGCAAAGGAGAAGAGTTTCTAAGACGTGTTCTATTTCTCCATTAAAAGGAGGAAGACTATCACTCAGTAGTTTTGTAATTATGAAC